CAAGTCATCCTAGTGAAGAGGGTAAGCTATTGAATCACTGAAAAGTTCATTAGGCGCGTTTCAAATTGATCCTGATGCAAGTGTCACAAGCAATGTAAAAATACTTGTAACGTGGTTCATTTCGCACAATATGGCTCTTCAAAGATGAGGATTCTGCTTCGTAAACTTGGAGCAGCCGAACATAAAATGTACTCAGATCAATGATAATGACCGTACTATCAGTCTGCAGTTGAGCACTGCTTCCTAAACTCCTTTAATTTCCCGCAAAACGTGCCGCAAACTTAGTTGACCAAGCATTCATCCTACCACCGAAATCATCACAAATAAAATTTCTGAAGTTGCCAAATACACTGTTAAATTTTGATGGTCTAATAATCAAATCCAGGTGTTATATCACCAATAAATCTTTCAACCCATCGCGCTTGGACTGTATCATAGAATTAAAAATATTCCGACGGCCATTTTATTCTATTTGATCTTAAGCATCCTATTCAATTCCTTGGCATTCAACAAACTGGGACAGAAATTTTCCAGTATTTTTCAGAATGATCTATGTTGTTGTACGAAGGTCGAATCTAAATCATGTTTGAAACCATATGCAAAATCTTGTTTCTGACCAAAACGCTCAGTGTCTAATGTATCACACCTTGTAGCTGACAACAAATTAGACAGTTTTGAAGTTCGGGGTGTTCATGAACCGTTTAACTGGTCCACATGGGCACCACCGATGATTCAATTCCAGTGTGTGTTGATTTTTTAGAAAGACTAAACCATTCCCTAGAAACACACTAATGCCTACTTCCCACGCCAGATGATCTCTCTGCAAAACGGGACGGAGGCAGGTTTTGTGCAAAGACTGACCTTGCAGATGCATATTAACAGACAGATACAGATGAAATATCTATAGTATTAGTTATCATTATTACACATCTAGGTCTCTATCAATATACTCGCCTATCGTTTGGAATCAAGCCATTCCCAGCCTTATTTCAGCACATTATGGACGCATACCGGAGATCATTACCTCATAATTGCAGCGTCGACTGAAGCGAAAGTAAAACGTGTTAGTGCTGATACGACCGAGGCCTTGCCAGTAACGGCGAATGTGGATGCTACGCTATCAAGCTATGAACTCCAGCAGGTCTCGAGTGATGTGCGTGACGGTTAGCCAAACAAAGCTGATAATGATTAAGTGGAATATTTCCGACGACTTCTGACATTGTCTATCGCTACCAACGTCTGCTGTATGGTGGACGCCAAGTTATTCTAAACACCCTCAGGTATCGAGAATTCAAACAACTCCGCCCGTGTCACCATGGTGTGCAACGTTTAAAGCTTAGACACCAACCCAAACTACATGCGGATGCGGCAAAAAACTTAGCTCTTCACTTTGTGCGAAAAAACCTTACAGCTGCTTTTAACTTTCTTTCAAACGTACGCACAACTCCACTTCAAAATGTACAATTTTGTTGCTCCTTCTCGCTTCAAAAGAGACGAAGTACCTAGACCAAGCACGGAGAGAGAGAACTAAGTGGGTGATAGAAATAAAACACAAATTTTACCTGGATAGACTCCAATGCTTGAGATTATTCTCTCTGAGCCACAGGATATCTTGGACACCGTAGAAACAAGAGAATCGAGCGTAAAGAAATCAATTGGTTTGTGCAAGCTAATGACAAAGATATTGGGTATTGGAAAGTAATATTTATCGGTTGTCTATTGGTCATCTCCATGACCCAAATAGAGTGCATTTTTGTTATTATTTGCATTTTTTTCATCAATTCTCTTAATTTGTGCAATTACCTTAACTGGTTGTAAAATTGCTGTTTAAATAATGATAACTTGACCTTTGACATCCCGTCCTGGTTCGTGAACACACATAGCATGACCCATTGGTTATCGTTCATAAATACACTGACGCACGCATGTGTTTTCAAGTTTTCGGACATTTTGACCTTTTCACTTATTGGCTTATTAACCTTGACTGTTTTTATATGACGTATGTATGTTGATTGCTCACCCTACTCATCATATGTCGATAACTTATTTTTGGTCTGTATATCAATACTGAGTAACTTTTGATTAAATTGAGTTGGATTACTCGCCTTTTCCACTACGTTTCATTTCGTTCCTCTGATTTCCAGTTCAAATCAATGAGTGCATGAAATATGCGTATTCAGATTCCAATCTCATATTTGGCTTATTTAATTCCGTTGTTTACTAACATGGATTAGGTTGATAAAATATATACAAGGGAAGCGGGGATGTATATTTCAATAATAATCAGCAAACGATCTAAATGGAGTCAAATAAAGGGTCCATTCAATACTAGTATTATTAATAAATGCTTTTAGCATTTCAGATAATTAAAATAACCCATAGTGTCACTGAATAAGAGAAAGAGAATTCAGCGAGGAAGATTTTCTTTTCGACGAAATCATTTACTTAAGCTGTACATTCGTATATATAGGTATATGGAAAATGTATGTCTATAAAAGGATAGAAAAAATTGAATCACCAAAATGGATTCGAGGATAAATATCAAATGAGGTTACGCACTAATTTTATTTTCTCAGGGGGTTAAAATAGGAATCATTCTTCTCTGCAATCGAAAACTTTAACCTGTTACAAATAACTACTGCGAGCCAGTGGTTTTCGGCCACAGCGCGTTGTTGAATAACGACAGTGGTATTTTTCCTTTGAGTATATTTCATAGTATTGATCGACTACCGTTTTATTTTTAGTTGAATTTATCTCAGTTAAAGTAATCCCCAAGAGTATTGTTTCTTTTCTATGGAACTTTATCATCCGTACTTTTCTTGTAAAGATACAAAATAAATAAGGGCACTGGTTTTTATTCCTTTTAGTTGAGTCTATCTTTCAGTATTGTTTGTATCCATAGGTGTTAAGGTCTCTTTATAACTTTTGAAGTCGGATTATTTGTTGTTGCTACGTGCAGTTTTACGTAAACCCTTGTTTTTGTATTCCGTGCCTATCACCTGTCAAGCCTCAAAAGACACTTTATCCCTTGGTTAGTTTCCGCTCCGAGATCACAAAACAAATTTGTGACACAAGTAAAACTTTATTGTGGCAGGCTTGAATGCTGTTTCCCCATAGCTGATGGGATGCATTGTGAGAAGTGCAAAAATTGATATCACAATGTGTGCACCGGACTCACACCGGCTGCATATAGAAGGTTCTGCAAGCCATTGTCTCGTTGGATGTGCAAATCAGGTTTTTCTACAAAGTCTCTGCGATTGAGCTGCTGAACATAGCTAAAAAATGGCTTTCAGATAAACAGGCTGCAGTAAATTAGCAGAACTCCGCTTCTGAGGAAATAGAGAGCGTTATCATGAGCCAAGCTCTGGATTTGAATGAAATCATGAAGGTGGACTGAATCAGTGAAGCAGGTAACAAGCATACCGGTGTATTGAGCGAATCTGAAGTAAGAGGATGATCAGAAAAAAGCAGAGGCTACTGCAAAATATATTAGGGCCGTTTGTTACTCAGGATCCTCTTCTAGGCGAAGAATTACACCTGAATACAAAGTTAAAAGACCGTCTGCTCACCGTGGACTTTGGTCGAGACGATGTGATTAATGCTCTTAGCACCTTAGACATGGAAAAGTGAACAAGACCGGGTGAACCAGACTCGGAAATCCTGAGACAATTTGCACGATATATTGCAGCCCCCACTGACTGTGATATTCAATATGTCTCTTGACCATGATGTGTTACTCATGGACTGGAAGGATGCAATCGTCACATAAAATGGGACCAAGACAACTTCCAGCAAACTACAGATCTGTCAGCCTCACCAGTGTCGCTGTTTAAGTGCTTGAAAGAATAGTCAAAAGAACCATAATGACATTTGTGGAAACCAACAACTCGTTAAACAACGAACAACATGGTTTCAGAAATTCTTTTATCTTGCATAACAAACCTCCTTACAGCAAGATAACAATGGATAAAGGCTATAGACAACGGAAAACCAGTGGATGTTGTCTATATAGACTTTAACAAAGCGTTTGACAACGTGTCAATAAATATACTGCTGTTGAAGCTAGAAAATCTTGGTATTGCCAGACCTCTTCTAAAATGGCTCAAGAATTTCCCATTAGGTCGTAGACAGAAAATAAGAATAAATTGGAAGTGCTTCACCTGGAGACCAGTACTTAGTGGAGTACCTCAAAGTTCTATCCTGGGTTCTTTACTTTTTATACTGTACGTAACTGATCGCCAATGTAGACCCCAATGTTATTATACACTGACGATGTAAATATCTGGCGAGAAATAACGGTAGACACAGATGCATGCGCACTTCAGGCTGACCTAAATACAGTGATTAACTGGTCTAAGGAGTGGCTGATGCCTATAAACGCGGCAAAGCGTGACTACATGCACTATGGTGGATACAAAGGTAAATAGGTACAGCATAGAGGAAGTGCCTGTACCCGAAGTCTGGTCTCACAAGGACCTTGTGGTGGCAGTGAGTCATGATTCTAAAATCACGGCCCACTGCCGGGAGGGCGCAGCTAAAGGGTTTAGAACCCTCTGCGCTTTAAGACGGACATTCGCGAAGTTAAATACTACCATGATCATCACATTATACACAACCTTAGTGAAAACTAAGCTTGAGTACTGCGTTCAGTCTGCAAGCCCCTGTTTAAAAGGTGACTCGAATATCTTAAAAGAAGTACAGACGGCAGCTACCCGTGAAATCCCAGAACTACGAAGTTTGTCATACAAAAAGCGGCTTGAAAATCTAGATCTCTTTACTCTGTCCTATCGCAGACTAAGAGTTGATCTGATTTTGATGTATGGAATACTAAGAAATAATTTTGGTCCTAATATATCTTTTTTTCCTACCAGATAGGAGCATCTCAGAGGATATAGCAGGCGAGTAGAAAAGCCAAGAACGAGTAAAATACTCGTGGGATACAGGCTTTCACACCGAGTCATCAATTCTTGGAACCTGTTACTCAAAGCAGTGGTGTTTGGACCTTCAGTTGACTCTTTCAAGAGAAGACTGAACACTCACAGAGGCATACTAGAAAAGGAATAACATAGGCCATAAGCCTCCTGTCCTTACTACACAAATCTGTGTGCTTCCAGCGGCTGTTTTATGTATTGACGGTACCTGTGTTCTAATTGTAAAGTAAAGGGTTGACAGTATAGTTTTTATCCTGAAACAAGTTCGTTGCTAATTCATATGCATATGTTATTCATATTTTCACAAAATTTCCCCTATCCACTGTAAAACCTAAACTCTTGTTATATGTCTAGCTTCTGTTAGATTCATAACTTTAGTTTCCAGTATATATATTCTTTAAATTACTCTATATGTGCGTTGAAAACAAACAATGCTTCCGGCCACTACACAAAGATTAGTCTTAATACCACTTTAGGCCATTAAATATTTTGTTGTTGGAGGATTATTTGTAGACCTTCGGTTAGCCTCTTAGCATCTAAAATACTAGCCTCGATAATTAACGCACGCCTAAATAAGACTCGTGAACTGCAAACATGAGAGAACCGATCTGGCTTCAGACCCAGTCGTGGCTGCATCGACCACATATCCAACACTCGTCAGATTTTTGAACACAAACATGCTTATCGGCATCCGACAGTGGTGGTCTTCCTTGACTTATAGGCAGTATTTGACTATGTAGACCGGGAGGTCCTATGATAGTGTCTGTCATTGAAGGGCGTACCTCAGAAATACATAAATCTTCTGAAGGCTCTTTACTTGAACACTACTAGTCGAGTCAGAGCTTATGGCGAATTGTCATCTGCTTTTGCAACCTCAAGTGGTGTCCGTCAAGGCTGTCCACTAACTCCATTTTTGTTTAACTTCATCAGAGACCAACATTCTCGTCGACTGAATTCTCGGGTATTGATCTACCAGGAGGTCCACTTATCGACTTAGAGTACGCAGATGACAGTCCTGTTTTGTGAAGACGCTGATGAAATGCAGTCTTTTGGTAGCACTGAGCAAAAATACCAGGTTGTTTGGGGTGTGTTTTCCCTCTCCAAATGCAAGTTTTAGCTTCAGGACTGACCTGCGTCGACACCTGAACTAAGGATAGGGAGTGAAGTAGTCGAACGCGTTGACAACTTCACTTATCTTGGAAGTCTGATCAACCCTAATGGGTTGGTGTCTGACGAACTGTGCGACAGTTCGTTCTGTTTCACTTTACGTCTGTGAAACGTGGCCATTAAGAGTAGACGTGCTTTTAGAGATGACACTTTCTTCCTCTAAATTTCCAGGAGTTGAACTTCTACCAGGATATTCACTTGTTGACTTAGAATATGTCGATGACATAGTTCTATTTGGTGAAGACGCTGACAAAATGCAGTCTTCTGATCACTATGAGCAACAATGCAAGCATGTTCGAGATGCGATTCTCCCCCTCAAAATGCGAAATGTTGCTTCAGGATTGGGTGGCATCGACACTCGAACTAATGATAGGGGGTGAAACAGTTGAGCTTTTCGACCGCTCCACTTATCTTGGGAGTCTCATCAGCCCTTGTGGTCTGGTGTGTGACAAAATCTCAGCACGGATACAGAAGGCCCGACTAGCTTTTACCAACTTGCGTCATTTATGGCGTAGGCGAGATATTCGTCTGCCAACCAAAGGACGTGTTTACTGTGCAGCAGTTCGTTCCGTCCTACTTCATGGCAATGAACCATGGCCGGTAAGAGTAGAGGATATTCGTAGGTTACTAGTATTCGATCAAAGGTGTCTTCGAAGCATTGCTCGTATATCCTGGGACCATCGAGTAAGCAATGCAGTTGTTAGGAAACGGGTACTAGGTAAGGATGGCAAATCAATTGATGAAATAGTGAAACCTCATCATTTGAGATGGCTGGGACATGTGTTACATATGCCCAACCACTGACTTCCCCCAGGTGCGATGTTTTATGGTGTAGGAGTAGGTTGGAAGAAAGCTAGGGGCGTCCAGACCAAAACATGGCACAAGTCCATGAAGTTACTGACAAGTGGACTGAGCTATGTTGGTAGGTGTAGACTATCTGATTGGGATCCGCTAGACGGTAGCAACCTATGGTTAGAGATCTTGAATGACATGACCCAAAATTGTTTACTATGGTGCAGGTGCGTCCACTCTTTTTGTTTTCCCAAATTCTAATCTTTTGAATTCTTTATGTCCCTTTCTTTCTACTCTTTCCAAATTTATTTCACCGGATTGTACTGCTTGAATAACATCTTCGAACCCTAATGTTTCCGATTACTGATTATACTTTTACTACCTCGACCACTACGGGATTTGAACCGACAACTGCATCTCTGTGCTTATGTGGTATGGCAACTCGAACTGATGTATGTACGTATGAAGTTCTACGTTGTCACCGACTGACTGAGAAGATACTCGTAAGCTACTAGTATTTGATCACATGTCTTAGAAATATTGCTCGTATCTAGTGGGTAAGTAATAGTGAGGTTAAACTCAGGATATTAGGGAATGATGGTCAATTAGTTGATGAGGTTGTAAATCTTCATCGACTAAGGTGGTTGGGCCACGTGTTAGGGATGGTTGGAAGAAAGTTAGGGGCGGCCAAACTAAGACGTGGCACAGGTCCTTGAAGTCACTAACTTCTGGTCCTAGCCATGATGATAGATGCACACTACTTTGTTGGGTTTCGCGTGACTATCGTAACCAAATGTTTGGAGACTGGGTGACATGGCTCAGAATCTGTCACAATGGAGTAGGTGTATACACTCTTTGTCTTCCCCTAAACTGAGATTAGAATTGCTTCATATGTTTCTTTCTACGAACTAATTCTTTCTTCCTGTACACAATCTTTCATACAGTAGTACCATGGAAGTGATTACTTTTGTAGATTTGGTGTTCATCTTGTGCTAATGAGGTGTGGCGAATTAGACCGATACATATACATGCCTGGTCCTACGATGCAGCTGACTGACTGAGGAGATCGAAGGGAAAAGGTTGATTGGTGTAGAGACGAAGGAACAATAAAGTCTGAGACAATTGGTTGAGATTTTTAAAATGAAATATTCATTGTATGGTTTTCGGATCTTACTAAGAGACTCTGTGATTTTGTGTTTAAATACATTTGGTTGTCCTCACTGATATTCTCGTTCACTACAATGGTTCATTTAAAGGGACTAAATTAACGCCATTCAGTAACGATAAACATGTTTAGTTAGACACTGAAATCCATTTACAAGACTTTATTTCTTTGTGGAGTCGATTGGAATACAATGTTGTAAGCACTTTTACATCATTTTCTGCAATTCAACTTTATGAGATTTACTATAAGTTTAGGTGAAAACTATGTGATCTGGTAGATTCCCCATTTTTGATCATTATCTACATGTAAGTGACGTCTTATAATTCTGAAATGGGCTAAGTTGCTTCAGTTTTGCTTTATTTCAAATTTTCTAAAGTCCCCAACGTTTTACTAAACTTAATTTTACACCAGTCTATAGAATGTTTCAAAGACTCCTTTATTTTATGAAATGTCAGGGTTCTTCCTTATTAGCCTTCACTAGAGTATGCTGACCATGTACTAAAACAAACTATGCTCTTCACACGCCTTTTCGAAGCTACAGGTTAGTGTGTTTACCTAAAATCCTCGGAAATCGATTCTTCATGGGTGTTGTTAATTTATTGATTAAAATAATCGTTTCGTAGTACTTACAGAATCTTTTTCTGTATTGTATGTAATTGTAACCCTACTTGGTAAATAGTAAGTTTACCTTAGTCCCTAGTCATATGGACCACAGTCGTCAAATGTGTACTTTCTGTGATTGGTTTAAAACAGTTGATAAACTTCAAATTAGTGTCATGTGTTTATCTGACTTTTCTGAGAATTCCCCAAAGGCGTCATCCCTCACATTGGAGTCGAGTATAATTGATAATCTAAATACTTCGATTTGTAACTCGTTTATAAACTTCATAATTTCGACATTATTTACCTAATAATCTCACGGATCTTTCCGCTCTCTTTTTGGACCATATTCTCAGTACCTAGTCCTCCTAATTATCATTGCTGCAACATTATTTCGGCTTCTTTTGCTATTAATTTTGTTAGTTTCATTTGGTATTGGTAATATAGTATGGCACCTTTGGCCAAGCAAATTCATGCCAAGCTCGACGTTGATGATGACTAACTGACTGACTAGTCCGACTAAATGTGATGGTTGTATGCTTCAGTTTTTTAATTTTTAAAGTACTTTACGTTACCTTTTAGCGACTTTTTAGTCCGAATGGTACTGTGAAACTTAGCTGAGTTTCCCCTTACAAACATATTGGACGTATCAACCAGGTGTTAATATGACTACCAGAGCAGTTGTAGTAATCGATTCACTCATCTGTTATACTTTAAATTGATTGAACATATATATATGACAGTACTAATGCTCCTAGCACTTACAAAATTCGCTAAAAATCTTTAAGGTTAGTTGAAGACAGTAAGAGGCTTTAATTAGTAATTTTTAGTACTCTAAAACTGTAGTGTTCCTTTAATAATTTCATCAAAGTTCCCTGATACGTGTTCTAGTAGTTCATTATCTGTTACATCCACCTATTTTTTTGTCGGAGTCGTGTCGCGTTATTGATAGTAAACAGTGTTTTTATTTTTAGTTACTGAATCGTTGTCATAATGCGAAATTTCTGTTTTTCATAAATATTCTAAAGTGTTAGTTGACAAATTCCTACAATTAATTCTTTGTATAAACTTTTAGGTCTATTTTTACCATCAGTGAATTTCTTCAAAAAATGCCAAAAACAAAGAAGCGATCCGTTGATAGTTCAAATGTTCGTATCTATTCTCCTGTTAATGATTATTATGTAGGTTCTCTGTTCTCGTGATGTGTCGAAGATTCGCAAACTAATGCGAGAAAATATTGATGAAGAAAAGTTTGCACAACAATTCTAATTTTTATTATTTCTTAGACTAGTTGTTTCAAAATCCCTAACCGATGAAGCTGCAATTATAGAGTCAGAGTCTGATAATGAGGAATCTGAAATGGAAGAAGGATTCCAACTTGATCTTCCTGATTTCGTACGTGATTATATATACATTCTCAGATTACTCCTCATCTATCCATAGGATTCATGTGGTGGTGACGTTTTAGAAGATGATGAAGATTGGAAGAAGTTTTTCAAATCGACCAGCGACAACAAGGAACTGGTGACAGAACTTAAAAAAAATTTGACTGAATCAAAATTGAAGGTAAATTAAGGGTTGATAATATGAATGGCATGTTTGTATGGTAATGGCCAACTTCCGCTTCCTGTGTATGAATAAGATGGATTGTTTTGTTTCTTTTGTGAAGATTTTGCAGGAATACTTAACCGTCATTAGTTTTATCTTCTACATTAGAGTTACTCAGCACAGTAAACAGAGATAAGTACAAACCATCACAAATTTAATCATCATTTCGTCCTCATTTTAAGGAAAGTTTAGTATTCTATATTCGTAGCTGAGCTGTATCTTTCACTATAGAAGAAAGGAAATATGTCTTCTTAACTGAACAAAAAGATTAGTTAGACTGCTTGTTATTAGTCTGGTTATAGCTGTCAATATTTGAAGTAAGTTGTTAGTATATTGTTCTACACAAAATTGCTATTCAGTTGAACAAGATCATATCGATAGATGATTTTTTTATTATTCAGGCACTCATCGGTTTTCTTTTAACCTGTCTTGTTTGTGATATGTCTTAATTAGGGCACGTTTTGTTCTGCCATACTAACCTATCCTTACCACACCAAAACCCCTCAACGAGAGGGGTCACCACCATGTAGCCTGAAAGTGTAAAATAACGTCTTAAATTCAATCACCTGCAGATGAAGTGTGCGAAGTCATCCATAAGTATACTTACTCCGAGGAGCCTCAAGTACCTCCAAAGACCATGTGTAAATTAAATAATCAGCTTGGTGAGAATGAAAACATGAATGTTTATAGCGCTGACACTAGTCTTCTCACAATCAAAATAATAAGCGTAGATGGATTCCTCCGGTAAATTAAGTTTTAGATGTTTATAGTCTGACTAGGAAGTCGTTGTGGAATGCATATTTCATTCAGGTGGTATAGTTTGCGCTACTGTCGCGATAGCGTAGATAAATAGTCTTAGTAAGCCAAAGTAGTCACGCGTCTGAGCGAAGAATCAGGAAAAATTAGTGTTGTCGGATGATGCAAACCGTCCTGTATAATACATTTCTTGGTACCTTATTTCACTAAGCGGTCTTTTATATATCAATTAACAAGAATTTAACCTCATGAAAATAAGGTGACCCAAGCTGTTTTCCTCCAGAATTCAGTTTTAAATCGTCTGACTAAACTCGGTCCGATAAATAAAAAATATGGGTGTTTTCAGTCAGTAACTTATTGTGAAAATAACAAAGTATCCACACTATATTATCGAATTTCTTATTTGATATGGAACTGCATTAATGAATGACCGAAAGCGTTTTTTCTACTTTGGGGACATGTTCAAAGAAGCAAACAGTTAACAGTCACCTGTCCATTTTTGTACCATTTATCTTTTGGCGACTACATGCAAATACATTTAGATAAAAAATGACGGTAACTGATGTTAAATGCGTATTCACTTTGATGAAACTAATTTAAGGAACTCGATTACGGAATAGCATCTTTTTAAAAAATATAGCTATAAAGTTAAATTCACAACAAAATATTATTATTCAAAAAATTAAGTACGAAACTGTTATTGATCATTGTTGTTTCTGTTCATTCATTGTTCTAGATTTCTGAAGATATGTCTCAGTACACTGGTAGTATTATTGGTGATTTGGATGAAGTAAGAGGATTCGAAAGTTTAAATGAACTTCCTGAAGAACTACGGGATCACTTAAATCTTTTAATTGATGTACTGAGAAGTTACAGAAGTGGACCATTACCAAAAACAATCAAAATGTTACCACATTTAGAGGGATGGGATAGTCTGTTAGAGATGTTAAAACCATTAGAATGGTCAGTTCATGTATATCCACGTATTGTTAAAGTGTTTGCATCTAAAGGTCATGAACCAGCAAATCAGTAAGATTTTGTAAATTTTTATCGGTATAATTTGTTAAGTAATTGTTTGTTCATATTCTTTAAATAGTTGTTTTTCTACCTAATTAAATTGTTAATTAATGTCTATATTTTGATTAAATCAAGTCTGTTTTAAAATTTTTCTATGAAAACACTATAGTGTGTTTAATAATGATATATTTATAAATATACTAATGAGTAAACAGTTAAATTTTATGACTTTTCATCAATCATTAAAAAGAAATGGTTTACATTGAGCCACAAAGCTTTGGAAAATCTAATTATTTACTCATTAGTATATTCACAAACATACCATTATTTTTCATTATTAACAAAATCAACTGTGGAATGCAGGTAAATCACATCCAGCTGACGAGTCACAAATAGGACGAAACTCGCGTCCTGAATTCCGCTGATAGCCACCATCCATCATTGCTTATAAATTTACCTAATATTCAATTTATTTGAAATTTCAAACGAAACCTTGTATATGATCCTTTTAAAAAGAATTTGTTCAAACATTCATAAATAGCATTTTTATACTTATGCCATTTTAAAAACTAATTCAACATTTCTAATAATATGACTCATTTGTCAACCTCAGACATTTTTAAACCTCATTATTTGTAAGAATTAGCAATACTACCTTAGTGATCAAACCAAACCAGGTGAATTGAAGTTCTAATATATGCCTTTACTGAAAGATTTCTGCATCACTAATGTTTATTCAATTGATCTATTTTTATGTAAATGATTAATGTAGAGAAATACATTCTCATTTGCTTACTAAAAATGTTTTCCGAAATTTGGAAGGAATGAGCAAATGAGATGTTTTTAATATATTTAAAACTATATACATTCATTTTCTTGTGACGAGGTTCAAAAATATCCTTTTTCTTCATAGCATCTACTTATTTGTATTGATATATTTTTAAATGGAAGTTATTGTATTCATTCTAAAGGAAAACATCTGTTATGACTAGTAATACTTGGCTATTAGTGTGAGAATTCAATAGCTTTATTAATCAAGATTATTCAATGGTTATGAAGTTATAGGGATAGAAAATATTTTGATAGGATACTTTTCTTAATTTATGTATAGTTAGTAATTACGAATTTGTTAGTAAACCTTCTCTATTTTTAACCGATCACTTCTTAAATTCAGTTCGAATTAGTTAAGCTTGATTAAATCGTATTCTGTAGGGTATTTACGTAATCTGGGGTATACTACTTCTATCGTATACCATGTATATCCTTTTCTGGCTACGGACAAAAACAAATCTATATTTCGTTCATTGACCATTGATGTCAAGTACTTAGGTTGTCCTTTGAATAGGACTTACTAGACGACTCGCCAAACCTTTTCTCGATGCGAATAAAGGAAAATGTGTACATTGTTATTTAGTTCTATGGTGGGAGTGACTAGCTTTGCATTACTTTCCTGAATTATCAATATAAGGTCATGGAGATTGAGTTTTTATCTATATCGCGTACCGATCAGTGTTAAACCACCAGTGAAAACCTGGGAGCACTGGACGACCTCTTCATCTTAGTGTAGTGAACAGAACACGGGTGGGGACAATCGAATGTATTTAGCACAGAAATTACAGACTATCTCAATAAAATCAGAAAAACCATATAATAAGTCGTCAATTTGCAAAATATCAATCCATCATATCAAACTGGCCTGTTCCTGTTTCAAACATCAATCCATTGTCTCCCATTCCATTGTTCATCCGTTTTCATACAAATTGCATAATGTTATCGCCCTTCGTTTCTTGATCTTCTTCCATCTTCTGCTGCCAGACAGTACGTTTTTAACTCGCGTCATATACTACTTACATCAATATAAGTAGCACGCACCACACTAGTATGGGACTCGACAGCAGTGCAGATACACGATCCCGCACGCGAGTACCAAACCCAGGACCTTTGGACTTGCGAGACCACTAAGCCAGTATCCAACGGTGTTAATGTCTAACTTCAATCGATCCATGATACTACGTGACTAGTGGAGTTCAACTGTGTCGGGTATGAGGCAGTTACCCACCGAAGACAACAGATGGTTGCTCAATATTGTGATCAGTATCATGATCTCAACAAAAACTTTCTTCGATATTCAGTCTGTAAATCATTGATATAAATCTAAGCTTGTCTGTCTGATTATTAGTTGTACATTTTAGGAATCTGTATATTAATCATAATAACATCCAGAGTAGCTGAAGTTTTCAAGGATGTATAGATATTTATTGAGTGTTAGTCTATGAAATGTTTATACTCTGTACACATGTTAAAAGTTCCCACTGTATTATTAAGATATGAATTGGGCCAATTCTAGCTGTCGATATCTATGATACAATGTTTGTTAAAACTACAAGAAATGAACTTCAAAATTCAATCCTAACACTGTTGCATAGTCATTTAAACTGAAGTTCTCCCTCTTATGACTTTTCTCCCTTTCAGCTTTTTTGAATCTTATTTATTACCTAAAGTAAAACAAGATATTGAAGAAAACAAACGTTTATGTGTTCATTTATATGAAGCACTAATTGCATCTATGTTTCGACCAGAAGAGTTCGTTTCCGGTGTCTATCTACCTTGGGTTCAGGTAAATTTTGTCTCATGATGTTTCTTATTTTTTTTTAAAAAAGAAAGAACTCAAAGTTGATGCTGTTATTCAATGAAACAGATACTTCGGCGATTACAGTTTGTTCATAGATGTTAGTTTTTTTATTATTTACACGTTCTGAGAAGCAGTAGCGTTAATACATTCACTTTTTATCTCCTCTAGATCCTGAATTACATTATTCGTTTTTACATACCTACTTCATACTGTTTTTTTCCAGCCATATTCTCTGTGTTTATTCTCATTATTACTGCTGATACATTATTCTGATTCCTTTGCTAATTTCATCTCTTAGTGCCAACTTTATGTAGCAACTTGTGTTGCTTCATATATACACCAAACTTTAGATTGATAGTCCTAAGCATAGATGAATGGTAACTAGCAGCGGGATCCAGGGCGCGCGTTTCGTCAGGACTCCGTAACTATGTGGATAACAGGATGGTATTTGAAGTGAACGATACTTGGTTCGATTCCTGGAGTGAATATCAACTTTGGTATGCAGGCACATGACATCCAGCTGACAAGTCCCAAATAGAACGAAACGCGCGTCCTGGATTCCACTGATAACCACTATCCATTTAGCTTAGAATGCTTGTGGCAATATCGAGGCAATCCGTACAGGGTGCACATATACCAATAAGGGACTGATCAATTACAGTCCTAAACATCAATGGGAAGGTTCAAATTAACAATACAAAATAAATTTTATGGTAACTGAACTCCTATTTCTTACTCGCTTCAAAATCTTTCATAGAAATTCGGAAATACATTTCTGAAACTACGTACAACATTTATTGCAATCTAGTAATCGAGTCCAGATTCATGTACTGAAATCTGATCTATAATTAACACGAAGTTGTTGAAAATTCTCATTTCTACAGAACGGCATCACTGAGAATATTATTCTATTCTGTTTTGAATCACCATCTATAGTCTTTTCTAATAAATCTTCACTATTTCAGAAGAAAATGTGCTTTTTAAAATGAACTTAATCACAAGTAAATGTTAATCAGGCAAGTTGTAGAAACTAAGGGTAACTAATGAATATTTTCCATTTTACAGTTTGTCTGTAGGACTTGTTTTCAGGTGCCATCAAGCCTCTAGAATACGTAGTTACGTATTGAACATATCAACTAGTGAAGGTTTCGATTTTGTCTTGTAGTGAAGGGGACAAGACTCCTCCTGACGAGGACAGCGTATTCTTCAAAATAATTGCTAGCATTTGGTATCAGAAGTTATTGATTTGAAATTAAATTTTAGAAAATAACAGATTACTTGATAACATACTTTAATGACTGAAACATTTCTCAAGTCACTGTTTAACATCGTCTAGAACAGTTTGTATTCAGTTTTCGGTTACACTGCATTAACTAACTTCGAATATCTCTATTATAGACTATTAAATATATCTGTTGTATTGCAGTTTATTAGTTCGTGTTATAGGTTCTCATTGTATTTAACCTATTTCGATCCGGACACTCACTAGACTTCAAATAATATTTGTGTTTGCATATACAACTCATAACTGGTCGCTGAAATCTTTCATACCTGAATTTACTAAATTTATCTAACCACGTTAGATACGCTCTCATATCAAGTGTATCTCGTTAGGCATATTACTTTCAGCGCAACAAGACAATTAACTTCAATCACAAGCTATCGTTGCTTTCGAAGAATCTTTTTATGTAACTAATTATAAAACTGCTTATTAAAATCTATTCTGTTCTATTAAAACTGTTTTACTTATCAACAATTGGATCGATTCTTATCACAAAACTTATTATTTTTGTGAACCGATATACATTTTCTTTTTATTAATTCTTCAATTATCAATCATTTCCTCCTTGTATATCTGCTATTTATTTAGTCGGAGATTTCCAAAACTGAAGGTGTAATCCTGTCCAATCTAATTAAAAGGGCGACATTAAAATCACGTTTTGCTGCAGTCGCTCTTGCTCTTACATTAGAAGAAGATTTCAGCATTCCTCGATCAATGGTTATTGAGACATTTTTAACCAAAAAGTATCACTTACCAGAAGCCGCTGTTCAAAGAATTATCGATTATTTCATTAGGTAAGCCGTTTAATTTTTAGTATATATACATACTTTTCTCATCTATAATGTGTTTTACTTTCGTAAATTTTGTGAAATAAAATAATTTTTCACTCTTATCGAATAATAACATAAAATGTTAATGCTTCCCTCGTAGTCAGTGGACTTTTCGATATTTTGAATTTATTGAGTGGCAAAGTATATGATTACCTAAAAGTTAAGCGCTCATTATCAGACCCAGTTTCGATCCCTGTTTACATCATTGTTAGATATCCTTACTAGAACGAAACAGCTATCTACTACACTTTAGTTTCTGGTGTTATCCTAGCAGATAACAATCTGTGATAAAAACCGCCTGTAAATTTAAAGATTTGTTTTATAATTTATACTTGTGTTCATTAGGATTTATGACTCGTGAGAGTTCAGAATTTTCCTAGCATAATAATGACTATAATCGTATTATTTCAGTAATATGAATTTTGGTGCGGTAAAGAATTCTTAGCAAAAGTTGTGCAACATTTCACCAAATATCTACCAATTAATATCTCCGAGTATTTATCACATTATCTGCCTTATTTTCTGATTGTTTTGTTAAACAGCCACAATCGTTTTCATAAACTTTTAGATTTTTAATACTGTTATCTGACACAACACTACTTGGCTGGTCTATTTTCTTATGATTATTAAGCATATACGTATTGGCTTAAAGCCATGACAAAAATACTAATTGAAAAGGAATATTTCTTCGCTTTATTTGTCTTTTTACTTGGTGTTTAAATGGGAATTTTCATTGTACCATCTCCTTATAGATTCAAATTGTAATTTTCAAAACATTTTAAAAATATTTTAAAAACCCACTACTTTCCACCTGCATTAAATCATTAAAGTTTTGTACCAGTTAAATAATACCACAATTATTTTTCCAACCATCATTTATATGAATTATTTCAACTTCGATATTTTTGTCTATTCCTTTTGTCAAAGGAATAGACAAAACGAAAAATGTACTGTGAATTGGTGTTTTTTTTGTGTGAATTTTCCAGTATTTACTATCATGAAAACCCTTTTCTCATAGCAAAGAAGTGCATACAATTAACATTCATAATATTTTCAAATATAAAACAATTAGTTTAATCGCAATATTTTTACAGTTTTGAAAATAGACATCAGGTAGCCAGGTTGATCTTTTCGTGTTTACAATAGTTCTTGTTTTATGATGATGGTGAGTTATAGCCATTTATTAAGTTACTTCAAGATTGAAATAAGTGAACAAATATAACTTTTTGTCAAAAGTGCAATTAGTTTTGTTCGCCGACGATAATCTCACGATAATTTCTTATCCTAAATAGTGATTTAATTATTGGATTAAATAAAATGATCACCTTTTTTTATTTCTAGACTGGTTGTACGAATGTTTGAATTTTACCTTTGATTATATTCGTATAGTCTTGGGAGAGTAGTGCTACTTGATAGTCGTTAGTTTCAGTGTACATTTTTTCAAACTGTTAATGTTCTTGCATACTGCAATGAATCTTACTGTTACGTTGTTACTTCAAATTTCGACAAATTTAATAATCAAACAAAAGCTACTTTTATGATTCCACTAGTATTCACCACCATTATTAGTATTAAAAAAAACTCAACTAATAATTATACTTTGATACATGTTAACGTATGAATATTTCAGTACATATTTATAAGAAATTAATTTAAAAATTTGTATAAACTTTTTATTCAGTCGTGGTTGGTGAAGGGATATAAAGTGAAAGTTTTTCTATACTGTAGTGCGAAGGAAAGCGACAGAGGACTAGTATCACTGTTGTAAAAATCGCTTGACCTTGGAATACATAGATGGTTATCTAGTTATAACCATGTAGGTCGTTTGCGGATCCTTTTCCCCTCTTAGTTTATAGTAAATTATTGGCTCAAAGGATTTTACCTTAATGTTCGGTTTATGTTTTTAGTGGTGATATGAATGTTCATTATTTTATATGTATAGTTAAAATGAGGTAAAACATTGTTTGATCACTACCCGTTACAAAAATGTGTTGTTGTAATGATCCCTAAATTGCACTTGCTTTTATGCATATCTTCAGTATTATCAATGAATTGTCATATCGGTTTTATAACCTAAATTACTTTTATACCTTTTCCATTTTAGTTTTGATAAAGATTGCACTGTTTACTTCACCGATGAGAAGCGTATGCCGTTGACCTGGTTCAAAAGCTTATTGGTATTTTTGGAGTTTTATAGGCATTGTGTTAACCCGTCTCAGCGTGAAAAGTTACTTAAATTATGTCGCCGTCATGAACATCCACAAATAACACCAGAAATTAGAAGCTTGCTGGGAACTATTTCACCTAACTAACATAATTTTTAACATCAAATTGTTTTGTAAATACACTTAATTTGATAAAATATTAACAGATTCTGTTCTAGTAGTCTGTTGTCTTTACCTCTCTAGCTGTCTTCAAGATTCATCTTACAATACAGGTTAATTTAGGTGTTTCTACAAAGTTTGACTGTTTAGTATGTTTTTCTAACTGCAAAGTTTATCTTTATGCAATCTACAATGACATAAGTTGGCCCATTTTGATTTTTATACTTATCTATATTGCTTCAAAGTAATGTATTTATAAGCTAGAAGCCGGTTAGGTCACCATTGTGGTTCATTGCTTCGAATACACGAGACAGCTCATTACAGACCTAAAATTAATTGGATGGTTGTGCAATTGTTTGACAGCAACACAGCATAAAGTCAATATTCCAGCATTAATTACTTACTGTTTGATCAGATCTGTGTATTTTGGGCTGAAAAAGTCCAGAGTTGACCAAAAACACAGTTTAAACTATACATTGTCTACCCAAGTTAACATTATACTTTAAATACTCTTCATATTGTCTTACAAGTGTAACCGTGCTAAGATCAATAAATGCACTACTATAAAAGGCGGGTGCATGGTTTTAGTCGGCTAATTATTCCCTACTGAATGCTACAAGCCGAATCAATTCTCACATGACTATATCGGACGTGCGCATGTGATGTGGCTGTAGGTTAAACTTTTTGTTGAGATCCGTCTACGTGAATTACCCATGGACAACATTTCCGTAAATGCTTCCGCAAAGTTAGTCTGTAATTACTACCTGAAAGGTGCTTATGGGTATCAACTAGAACATTGAGTAAGAATATCCTTGGATTTAACAGGCTCCTAATGTTTGTGGTTATTTAGTATAAGTAGTTCGCTCCACATTTATATCCTGATACTTAAGAATTACTTCATGTTCTCTATTAAAATTACTTCAAATGATCAATTCCACCAGTCTTGCCTAATTTAGGAGTTGGTGATAACACTTCTGGCCAGTAATTACACTTGTCAAATGATATTCAATCCGTCTATTAAAGGCTGTAAGGTAGGCATAAAAGTGGGTAAAGATCATTATAATTGGGAACTAGAATGAAATACATAGATGTGTTGGGTATATCTGATTCTCCCTGGCATATGATCATGTTCTTTTTCTGCAGAAGATTAAGGTGACGATTTATGTAGGCTACATTGAAGCAGTGAATTCTGAATAAGTAGGTGGTCGTTCGTCTTCTGGAATACAGGGAGATATATCTGGGGGTTGAACTCAACCGTTATTTTTCGTGTTTTTGCAGTCACACTGGGTAGTTCTGAGGTTCTTTTGTGTCCTCTTTAAGTTGAACGACTGTCAAGTCTGATCACAAAAGCAGTGGAAGGCTTATATCTCTGAAGGTTCAACATTTTGTGACTTTGGAACTGATATTAACATGTGCTTTCAATAGATGAACTTATGGGCGTCGATAAAAAGTTTGTTTGTGTCGTTTGGATAGCAATTGAAACCCTTTATGATTAGAAAGATTGCCCAGCTGTAGTAACATTACGTCGAGCTCGTGTGGTTTCCCGACTTGGTAGTCGTACTGCCTTGCTTTCTTAGCAACTTCGGGGAACAACAAATGTTGACGGAATAATGTTTACTTATGAAAAATAAAACCAGCGACAAGGCTGCTAAACTCATGAGTTCGAATAATCTATCTATGTTGGTTATACTTGATATTGATTAGACTGAATTAACATGTAGTGCCAATAAATTGTTATTTAGTTCTAGCCAAATCAATCAGACAGATCAATGGATATTGAGTTGTTTGTTGAACCTATCAAGGTCAACTAATTAACTGCATACCATGGACCGGTTCATGTGGCAGCGGGTCGAATATGTGCTTCTTCAATACTTTCCTATGATACTTTGTTTTTTGGCAAAACTGCTTTTTTCTATGCAGTCTCAGTATGTGGATACTAAGACAGTATAATCTGGGTTATATGTGTCAACCATGAAGTGTAACTTTGAGATAAGCGAGGATACACCATTTTCGTTCTAACCCACTAAAACCTGACCATCCATGACTGCTACCTAAACTAGTGATCTGCACTGGTTACATACTAACTACTTATCACAGAGTGGTAACTCTCTAATGTGAATAAAGTTACATTTATTTCGACAGATTATTTGGCTAGGGTTCGGTTTTACTTAACTAGGTCAGTATACTTAAGAAAAGATGTGGTGTTTGAATGGACTAATGATATCTTTGTAGTTGTTGAGTGCTCGATTTCGAATTCCAAATACATTACATTCGCTTGTGCTTGTGTCTTACTTCTTAATTCAATTGCGTTATTTCTGGGACTCTTAGTTCGTGCTATAATTCAAATAATTCAAAACATTATAAAAAATCAATGGAATGCCGCACATTATCTTAAAGGCTTTCTTAACAAATAGGAAAAGTACTCATAGTAGTTGGATCCATTATGGCTTTTGTAAATTTCTCGAATTCGTTTGAATCCAATGACTTTGTATTTCTTTGCGCTCCCTCATTTTTTCTGCACGATACCATGTATTTGGTTGTGTTCAGTGAGTCTGATAATGGCCGTCCACTCAATTGAAACTCAAATGTTTTGCGTGGTAGCTTAAACAATCTCATGTCGGAGTCATGCCATAAAATGATTGTTTAGCCTGTTCTAGCCTGACTTGATGGACAGGCTAACCTGTTTCCATAGCGCATTATAAATAAGGACAAGACATAACATTGAGAATAGAGAGAACGAACTTATCGATTTACTAATCTATCAGCCTACTGATGTCTTCGATATACCGATCTACTGAATCGTAAGTTATTCGTCTTTTGAGTAATATATTTGCTGATCTGTTCGTTATGTTAAGGATTCGAGTTTTTTTAAGTAGGTTATTTTGCGTGTGTGAGCTTTCGTTGGTGCTGAGACGGTGCCACCAAATTTAAAGAATAACCAGACCTATGGACAGTTTTATATTGTGCAATTACTTACTACTTGTTTTTGCATCAGCAGTTGTGTACCTAGTCCTGCATTTCCGTCCAAAATTTAGGGTTTTCTGTAATCTTCTGTGCAAATTTCATAGCTCATATGTTATCTGTCAACGAAACTCCCGTAAACTGAAGGACAACAGTTTGGTTACTAGGTGTTACTATGGGAACATAAAAATGCCTATTAAGTATACACATTTTACAGATATCTGACTATTTACGAGACCACTCACCTTACATTTAGGTTTATGCCTATCGTTGTCTAGAAGGGACAGGAGAAACCACAATTAGGAGTAAAAACGTTATTTATCATCAACATTCACTTGAAGATTTTCCGATCTCGATCCTCAATAGACGGTATAAAGCCCAAATCCCCGGAGTATCAGATACACATATCAGAGGCTTTAACTGTCGCCTAGGAAAAGAGCTTATCAACAATAGCTCGGACGTCATGGCGGGGTTCACTGTTTCTGAAACCAAAATCTCACCAATGGGTATCCAAGAGGTCGACTTATATGATCTTGTAAACCTAAGCGTATTGAACACCTACACAGGCAGACCTAACACAAAGCAAAATACATGAGACACATCGGCACATCAGTTGGTCACGTGATAGATATTATACAAACTGCAATTAAGGTTAAACTCCCATTATTTGACATATACTAGTTCATCTACAGAAAGAATTTCAGACCATCATATGGTAACATCCATAATCAAGTTCAGTAGATTTACAAACTATAGTTACCCGTGGACCTAAGACAGTATACCTCGAGGTCCATACAATTGAACTAGAAAAGCTGACCTGCAACACATGGAAACTGCCCTTCTACAAGACTGAACTTCAGTCAACAACCAGTGCTTTACTAAACCTAGCCTCTGGAGTAATTCTCAAGCCAACGACAGGCCAAATAACAATTGGTCCGGAACTAATAGATGAAAGCACTGTAAAATGGAATTTATCCCACGTGGAATATGTCCGTGAATAAGGCTTAATTACCACTACTGGAGCAAACGCAGGGCTACGTTGCCTTCAACTTCACATGAAGGAGCTATGTATGCAAATTACCCTATGAAAAAACAAAGACAATAATAATTAATAAAGAAGTTGACAATCTTAAAACAGTCATAGACAACCACAAACTTTAGGAAGTCACCTCTTTCAACTACAGTCAATGATGGTAAACGACGGAATTGTTACAGAAAGAACTGAAAGTGTTTGACTGAATATTAACTGATATACTGAACACTGTTAGTCTCCATGTGTTCTTGATTCGTTTGTTGTACTCAAATTATGAACTTGTTTGCATATAACCTTGACCTCAGATATTTAGACTTTCACTCTGCTTTGTTTTGTTACTTTGGAAGTTTTGTCCCGTAAACCTAAGACTTGAGAGTTTGTTGTGCGTCTGTTATAATAATTAATAAAATAATACACTTGGGATGAGTTATTGTAATAAATTATTAAACTTTGATACATGTACTGGAATCTAGTCATCTTGTTATTTGGGTCGTAAATCAATTGAACGTGCTTCAACAACTCGCTAGAGTTGATCACAGCACCAAAATAATAGTAATATGACACATTACATCTGAATGCACTGACAGTAATTTCAAGAGAATATTGGGGCCATTGAAGAAGTGAATAAACATTTCATAAGTGATAGAAAACAAAAAGACCAATTTTGAACTTACAATGATGCCACAAATATATCTTCGCGGAATTTACAGAACATCGGGATGGCCCAAAAATATACCTTTTCATCCCATCCCCATATAACATAAGTTTCGTCCAACACCTAACCATAGACACTAGACGTAGGCACAAGTCAAACAACCGAAAGAGCTTAGACACAATCAGTGCCAGCAATGACCTACAGAAGTGCCTACATGTCGGCTGTTAGAAGGACAATGAATAACTGCCATGTGGTACATAGATGGTAGATCATAACATGACAGGAAACAAGACAAAAATCGCCAGACCAAACTCTTGTCCATTAGAGCCAACCGGCCTTACCAGCTACTTCGGCTGGAAAGGGAGCCGGAAGGAATTACTTTTGATGTGAAGTGAATAAAACGGTGGCCAAG